CCCACTATAAGGACTTAATAGTTATTTGGAAAGCTTTGAATGAATGAATGAGAAAGAACCTTCAAAGCCAACATACGATATGAGTGTTTCATGGAGGTTTGTTGAGCAGAGTTGCTTGAGTCTGGTCTGAGTCTCCATCATCTCTTACCTGGATTGTTCCAGTAGCTTCCTAGGTGTCCCTCTGCCCCTGCTTTTGCCCTTGCAGTCTGTTCTCAACACAGCAGACCCTTTTGCTCCTCTATCTAGAACTTTCGGTGGCTCCCATCTAACTCCAGATAAAAGCCAAAGCTTTTATGTTGGCCTGAAAAGCCCTATGTGCTCTGACTCCCTGTGACCTCCCTGAACCCATAGCTACCTACTCCCACCCCCAACACAGACACTCTCTGCTCAAGCCAGACAGAACCCCCTGCTCTTCCTGGAACATGCTAGCATGCTTCCTTGTCAGATCTTGATTTTCCATCTGCATGGAATGTTCTTCCCAGGTATTTGCATGACTCACTCCTTTACTTCCTAGACTGTTTTTTTAATCAGATGGCTGGGGACCAGAACGTTAGCCCTGATCTTGACACTCCCTCCTGCCTTATCTTGTGTCATGCTTGTTGATGGCACCTTCAAGCCTTCTGAGGAAACATGGGCCAGGGAGTTGGGGGCTACCCTCTGTTCACTTTTTCCTCCTTCTGGCTGGTTCCTCCTTCCGATGGTTCACCAAGCTTTAAGAAGGTCCTCTTGCTGTTTGTACTCTTCCTGATCCAACTCCTCAAAAGCATACAGACTCCTGAGAGGGTGCCAAACCAGCCCCCATGAGCCGTGAACAAGGGTGACAGGAGCTGAGTCATTGTGTATAACTGAGCTAAGGGTGGTTGGTTAAAAGTAACCTTGAAAAGGTTGACTGCTGTCGTTCACCAAGAAATAAACACATCGGGCAGATCAGCCTGGCAGCGTAACTTTAAGGACATTTCCCTTTGTCCTGACTTTGCAGTGCCATCTTGCCCTTCTTGGGAATTTGTTTATCCAGGGCTGTCCCAGCTTCTCCATTTCCCTCCAATGAAGTGCCTCTGAAAGCTGTGCAGGGCACAGGCAACCCTTCTGAGTAGGGGTAAGAAGAAGGAAACAAGTGTTTATGGAATGCCTATTTGCCAGGCATTTGTTCAGCTCCATTACTTACAATCTGTTATCACTCTGCAGAAGAGATGATAGAGACAAGACAAGACTGAAATGGGGCTCCACGTGGTGGCTCCACATGGTGGAGCCAGACTCAGAATCTGGTCTTTCTGACTTTAATTGCATTCTTTTGTCATGTCACCTCCTAGTCTGACAAAGCTGAAGCTCTCCTAGCTTCATTTTCATCCCTTGTGCTGCATCCTAAAGGAGCCCTGGTGATGCAAACAGTTAAGCACTCAGCTGCTAACCAAAAGGTTGGCAGTTCAAACCCACTCAGCAGCTCCGTGAGAGAGTGATCTGGTGGTCTGCTTTTATAGAGATTACAGACAAGAAAACCCTATGGTGCAGTTCTGCTCTGTTACATGGGGTAGCTATGAGTTGAAATCATCAACTTGATGGCACCTAACAACAACAACACTGCTTCCCATACCACGCGAGGCTGGGAGTGAATAAGTAACAACATTTTTTAAGAGTCCCCCGAACTCAAGAGATGCACAGATATCATTCACAGCTCTGTTTGTAGGTGTCATATAAGGAGAGTTGTTCCATGGTTTTCTTTAAAAAACAAAGAAAAAAAAACAGTTGCTGTCTAGTCGAATCCTCCTCATGGCAACCCCATGTGTGTCACAGTAGAACTATGCTTCATAGGGTATTCAGTGGCCGTGATCTTTCTTCCGTGGCGCCTGTGGGTGGACTCAAACCTCCAACCTTTCAGCAGCCAAGCGCATTAACTTTTTGTGCCACCCAGGGACTCCTACAGTTTTCTGGTTGTTAGGTGCCATCAAGTCAGTTCTGACTCATAGCAACAGAACAAAACATTGCCTGATCCTGTGCCATCCTCACAATCACTGTTATGCTTGAGCCTGTTGTTGCAGCCACTGTGTCAGTCCATCTCATTGAGGGTCTTCTTTCTCACTGACCCTCTACTCTACCAAGCATAATGTCCTTCTCCAGGGACTGATCCCTCCTGATAACATGTCCAAAGTATGTGATATGAAGTTTTGCCATCCTTGCTTCTAAGGAGCATTCTGGCTATACTTCTTCTAAGGCAGATTTGTTCGTTCTTTTGGCAGTCCATGATATATTCAATATTCTTCTCTATGATTTTCTCACAAGCCATGAAAACCAGAATTCGAGCCTTCAGCCTCTGTGGGTTTCCACTTCCCAGACTAATCCAGGTTTGGGCCAAGCTAGGTCTTGGAAACAGAGAAGTTCTCACTTGGCTTCTAGTGATATTGACGACATGATCTGATCCAGATTTCCTGGTTATTTGCCTATTCAGTAGAATCACACAGTAGACTTTGGTGTACAATGGATTTAAAATCTCTTTATTATAATATTTAAAGCCTGTATTTCGTTATCACATTGCCCCAAAGGATTATAAGCAAAGTTGCTTGCATTAGCCATCCAAAAAAAGGAAAAAACAACACTTAGCCTTTTCCAAATGTCCACATGCCCACTCACCTCTGATCAGCGGTAGCTAGCATTGATCACTTTGTGTTTTCATTTTTCCTCTTTGGTGACAGCTGTCCCGATGGGGTGGGCAGAGAGCCAAGGCCAGCCAGGAAGTGTTGATATACTGTCATGTAAGAGAGTGACGCTGTCAGTGAACATTATATTGCAGGCCAGACTTATTGTACTACCTGTGACTTAGCACAGGTGTGGATTTTGCTCAAGATCATCATGAATAGAAGGAGCCAGATAAGGATCTTCCTGCCTGGTGGTCTGTTTCTGGTAGTGCCCCGGACTGTGTGGTGGGACAATCTGCTTACCCTGCCACCACGGATCACTTTCAAAAGATTAATATGGATTCTAATATCCCTGAATAATCCAGCGTATTTCTATCATCTCTGAACTGTTAGATCCTTCTAGAATCTTCTTCTGTTTTCAGCTTATATGAATCCAGGTTCTACATTTCCTGCCCACTGTGCAATGAAGGGAGCCCTGGTGGCGCAGTGGTGAAGAACTCAGCTACTAACCAAAAGGTCGGCAGTTTGAATCTACCACCACTCCTTGGAAACCCTCTGGGGCGGTTCTACTCTGTCCTACAGGGTCGCTATGAGTTGGAATCGACTCAGCGGCACGGCAATGGGTTTTTTTGTTTCTCTTTTTTTGGTGCAGTGAGGAATTTCTGTTTGCTAACCTCCAAACTTGCTCTGGTTCGAGCAGCCGAGTCCCTGTGGGTGGACCTTCAGTTTGTTTCCGGTTGTTTACTTCCCCTGTAACAACATTGCTGTTAATATCCTCGTGTCAGTTTCTCTGCATGTGTTCCAGTATGTAGTGGGATGAATTCCTAGAGGTGGATTCAGAGCCCAGGGTCTCACCACCAGGGGGCCCTCCTGAGAGCCCACCCATCCCACAGAAGTTACAGGCAGCAGTTGGGTACCCAAGGATGCTGAGGAGTTCGCTAGGACTCCATTGACAAAGGCGCAGGCAGAGCAACCTCAGGTGCCCGGTGGTATGTGAGTTCCTATCCCTGGTGCTTGCTCAGGGTTGCTTTGGGCAGAGCTGAAATAAAACAGTGGTCACAGGCCAGAGAGGGAGCTTCCCTCTGCTCACCTGCTGCCCTCCTGATCCCTACTCCCCCCTTTCTTCTCACCCCCCAGCTTCTCTTTCTAACCAGGCTGATTGTCCATCCTGCTTCACACTTCCTGGCACCCAGCCGTCTCTACCCACTCACGTGTCTTCCTGGGATGTGTTAGTTCCCTCCACTCCCTCTAGGTCCTGGGAATGACCAGCCCTGCCCCATTCTGAGCCCCCTTCTGTGCTGTGAGGATGCCCCTCTTTGCAATAGCTGCCATGTCACTTTGTCTTATCACAGATTGCTCACACTGTCTCTCTCTAGTTGTATTAGTGAAGTATTGTGAGTTTTAATCAACCAACAAGTGCTGAGTCCCTACCAAGGACGTGACAGCATGTTAGGTTGTATCGGAGATGCCTACAGACTTCTCTATGTGATCCTTAGCCTCACAGAGTCACAGTTCTGCCACTGAGCTAAAACTAGCACACCCAAAGCAATGTCGCCTTAGGTAACTGCCAAGTTAGATAGGCACTGAAAATGTCTTTGGGATTAGAGAGGAGGGAAACTGGAGGAAAGCAAAACAGCTGGTGAAAGTGGGCCTGGAAATGGGCCTTCAAGGGTGGGAGGCTTTAAATAGCTAGATTGTGTAATCGTTGATGAGGATGATGATGATAATGAATAGCCAGCCTTTACTGACAGAAACAGGAGTCCCTGGGTGATGCAAATGGTTAAACACTCAGCTACTAACCGAAAGTTCTAGTCTACCTAGAGGCACCTTGGAAGAAAGGCCTGATGATCTACTTCCGAAAGGTCACAGCCCTTGAAAACCCTGTGGAGCGCAGTGAGACACACGTGGGGTCACCATGAGTCAGGATCAACTCTACAGCAACTGGTTGTTTTGGTTTACTGGCAGGCACATGCATTATCTCTCGTCCTGGAGCCCAGTGTGGGAGATACTAAAGTCCCAATTTTGTAGTTGAGGAAACCGATGGTTAGAAAGGTCAACCTGTTGCCATCAAATCAATTCCGACTCATAGTGACCCTATAGGACAGAATAGAACTGCCCCATAGGGTTTCCAAGGAGCAGCTGGTGGATTTGAACTGCCAACATTTTGGTTAGCAGCCAAGCTCTTAACCCCTGAGCCACCAGAGCCTGGATTCCAGCTCAGGCTTGTCTGACCCCAAGCTCTTCCTCTTCACTGCTCCCTCACATCATGGTGCCTTCTGTTGTTGGGATTTCCTAATGGATGGACAGATGGGACAGGGGATCCCAGTTGCATCCTTGGTTCCTTGGCTGATGGCTTCATTGTCATTCCAGGACTTCTGCCACGGGCAGGTGATGTGGCCACCTCTCAGTGCCCTGCAGGTCAAGCTTGCTGAGCCTGGGAAGTCCTGCAAGCAGGTGTGCCAGGAGAGCCAGCTCATCTGTGAGCCATCCTTCTTCCAGCACCTCAACAAGGACAAGGACATGCTCAAGTAAGTGCCCGTGAGGTGGGAGGCCGCCTCTCCTTCTCAGTTCAAGTTGGGTGGAGAGGTGCGAGTTTTCAGTTTTCCAGGTTTGTAAGCTTTGGGGCAAAGAAGTGGTGGGAAGGGCAGCAGTTTACAGCATGATTCCTCCCAGAGAGAGTGAGCCACATGTTTTTATTGTCAGGTGGGATGAGGTCACCTGGCATGATGATGTAGTTTAGAATTAGAATGACGGGGGGAGGGTGTATTTGCAGAAATAACACCATGTCTGGGCTTGGCGATTATGGGAGGTGTTCAGTTTACGAATACGTCACTCAAGGACTGTGGGAGCCGAGATGGGCACAGAGCCACAGGCCTGGATAGACCCTGCTGTTATAGATTGAATTGTGTCCCCCAAAATATGTCTTGGAATCCTAACCCTATACCTGTGGATGTAATCCCATTTGGGAATAGGATTTCCCTTGTTTTGTTAATGAGGCCACATCAGTGTAGGGTATGTCTTAACCACCTTTGAGATATAAAAGAAGCAGATTAGGCACAGACAAGCAATTACAAATGGGGAAGAGATCCATGGCACATGCAGATCTCCAGGAAATGTCGAGAAGAATGCTAGAGAAGTTGAGACAAGGATTTTCCTTCAGAGCCGACAGAGAGACCCTTCCCCTAGAGCCGGCGCCCTGAATTCAGACTTCTAGCCTAAACTGTGAGAAAATAAATTTCTGTTCATGAAAGCCCCCCACCTGTGGTATTTGTGTTCAGCAGCACTAGGAGACTAAGGTACCCCTGCCGAGGCCCCTGTTAGCAGCTGTGTCTCCAGGTGGCCCCCATCAGAGCCTGAGCAGTCGGAGGGAAGAGGGGGTGACAGCCTTCCCCCTGGAGCCAGAGAGGAATGAGAAATATGGGCAAGGAGCTGGTACCAAACTGCCCATCACAGATTCCAAGTGCCACCGTCCTGTTCTGGCAGCCGTGGCCCCTTTTACACTTGTTAGTTCTTTTGTCATTCATTTCCCTTTGTGTTGCCATTTTGAGTTTGGCGTTTACAGTTCCCAGATTCTCTGGGTCATGGCCTCTGTCAGTCTCCCAGTTTTTAGAAAATATTGGTTAATTAAATAGCCTCCCCTTACCCAGTACCGTTATTTAGGTATTTTCCCCCAGGAGACTTGCCTATAAATAATAAGACACTGCTATCCCAACTCTGTAGGGTCGCTATGAGTTGGAATCGATTTGACGGCAACAGGTTTGTTTTTTGTTTGGTTTTTTTAATCCCAACTCTGAGGGCAGTGGTGGTTCAGTGGTAGAATTCTTGCCTTCCATGCAGGAGACCCAGGTTTGATTCCTGGCCGGTGCGCCGCAAGCACAGCCACCACCCATCTGTCCAGCGGAGGTTTCAGCATTGCTGTGATGCTGAACAGTTTTCAGCAGAGCTTCCAGACTAACAGACTAGGAGGAAAGGCTTGGAAATCTACTTCCAAAAAATCAGCCAGTAGAAACCCCATGGATCACAATAGTCTAATTCCATTGTGTGTGGTATTGCCATGAGTTGGGGGCCAACTTGACTTCAGCTAACAAAGACAACAAAACAATCCCAACTCCAGATACTCAGTTGGACAGTCAGACTGTCCCAGATGGTCTTGGAGAGGATGTTTAAAGAATGGAGTGGACTTGGCTTACAGCTTGCCTGCCCTTGCTCTGGCTTCATGCTTTATTAGAGAGAGCCGTTGGCCACACTGGCTGTCTGTGCACGGGGGTCTTGTCTGGTCCCTCCTATAAATTTTATTACTCTCAAGTGTTATATAAAACCCTTTTATAGAGAGAACATGGCCTGTAGCGTTTCACTCCTGAGTAGCGTTGCAGGGGATGTGATTTTTCATGTTCTTTTTATGTAAAGACAAGTTGCCTTGATTCCACCATCAAAACAGAAGCACAGATCAGGAGGGAGAGGTCAGTTGGTGCCCTGCTCTGTGACCAGTAAAACTTTGAGTGGGGTGGGCTGGTGGGCTGCTACTAATGGGAAGCCAGTAATGTTATTGGAAGCTTCTGTCTCCCCAGCGCAGACCCTGGATTCTAGGGTTCCAGGAGAGGCTTTCCACTGGTTCCTTTGTAAACAGCTCCCATAGCAGGTGGCTTTTTGAGAACCCTGATATCTTCTATGTTTGCATCAAAACTCTGAAGGGCCAGGACATATAGTACAGCTCCTTCCCCAGCTCTGGGAACAGTGCATTCTAGAAATGGACCCAAATGTGACTTCTGACCAGCGTGCTTCCTATCCTAGCCAGTCAGCACCCAGGGCCCTTGGCCAGGGTACGGTGATTGATCACGGCAGGGTACAGAGCTAGCACAGGGCTCCCCACAGCTGGCCTACCTCAGAGACAAGGGCTTCATTGTCATTATCATTGTCTAGGCCCAGCAGGGGGCAGGGGAACCAAAATATCTGCCAGTGGCAAGTTCCCTCCATTTCATCAGTTTTCTCCTCTGTAAAATGGGCACATTCTAGGTGATGGTGCAATAATGTCCAGCCCATACTAAAGCCAGATCAGAACAGCCCCTCTTCCAGAAGACCTGGGGCAGAGGAGCAGGCCCAGCCTCTCAGCCACCTGGCTGAGCCTGGACAAGCCAGTCCCCAGCCCTGCCTCCCTCTCCTCCTCGATGCACCTTGCAGAGTCCTAGAGAGCAGATGGACTCAGTATGGGGCTGTCCTGCCTGCCTGGCCTCTGTGCCTGTGGTTGCTGACGACCCCCTCAATGTAGATATGTGTCTTTTCCTGCAATAAGGATGGAATGAATGCTAATTTTGCAATAAAGCCACCTGAAATTAATTCTCTGAGCATAAGAGCCCTGCTGAATAACTTGTTTGTGCATTTGTAAATACTGATAATGTCGTAAAACCCACACTATCTGGCAGTCTATTGAGTACCTTCTCAGTATGGAGGTACTCCTGGCCCATCCATATTCATGGCCAATTAGCAATTAGCGCTTCCTACAAACCAGCACTGCTTTTTCTTCTCTGAGTTGGGGCCTGATTCTGAGCCACGCTTAAGCTCCTTTCAGTCTTTGGGTGCCCACAGCCTTTAAGAACCCCCGTCCTCACCATAGAGTATGACTTTAATATATAACATAAAATGAGCCATTTGTGAGCATACTGGGCTGTCTTCTTGAATCAGGGAGAATCAGGCACCTGATTGGCGTAAGTGTGGCAGAGCACACCACGACTCCTGCCCACATAGCATGCTCATTCAGGGCTGACCTGGCCTCTGTATCAAGACTGTACTCAGACTGGAAGGCAGAGGGCCATGGGACACACCAGACTCCACTCCAGTGTGGCCCAGAGGGGAGGCCCTCGGCTTGACAGGTGTACATTAATATGAAAACCAGTTTTTCATTTTACTGCATTTTGAAGTTGTATCTTCTAAAATCTTGAAATATTTGAGTCTGGTGGTTTCTTTTTAGAGAAGTGAATTCTAAACTGTGACGTCTAGCCTGTGAGAGCAGAGAGGTGGCCCAGAGTCAGGGGGATCATCAAGAAGTCTTGGTTGAGTGACCAGCTGAGGGAGGACTTGGCGGGTGTAGGACTGGAATAAGGAGACAAGAGGGAAGAAGGTGGGGAGAAACTCCAGGGGCAGGTAAGTGTGAGGAGTAGGACTGGGTGGTGGCACGACCTGCGTCCTTCCCACCATCCAAAAGGGGAGCGTGTAAGGTAGAGATGGGTTAGGCTTCTGCCTCTGAACTTCCTAGCCTGCCCTTGGCTACTCACCAGCCTGGCACCTGGGACTGCAGGGAGGTAGTAAGCAGCCCTATGGCAAAGTGGAGGGTTGCCCTTTTGTCGTTTTTCAAGAGCTATACAGCGTGAGGAAACCCTGGTGGTGCAGTGGTTAAGAGTTCAGCTGCTAACCAAAAGTTCGGCAGTTCAAATCCACCAGGCGCTCCTTGGAAACCCTGTGGGGCAGTTCTACTCTGTCCTATAGGGTCGCTATGAGTTGGAATTGACTAAATGGCAATGGGTTTTATACAGTGTGAACTGAGGGCTGGTGGGCGTCAGGAGCCCCAACTCCCATCCTAGAGGGAAAGCTGTTTAGTAGGGTAGGGAAACACCTCATTATTTGGAGAACTAATCAAGGGAAGGAATCAAGCATTTTTTTAGAAAGATACATTAGAAAATGCTGAATTCCATATTACTTCACTGCAGTACAATTTTAAGAATTAAAAACTATCTAGTGGACGTGCACATTGAATTAATACCATTTTAGAGTTTTTGTTTTATTTTTAAACAAATATGTCCTGCAAGTCATGATTTGGAGAAATGCAAATAAAATTGCCATAAAATGTGGTTTAAAAGGAGGGAAAGAAGAAGGAAACCTGTTGAGACCAGCCGGAGAAGTCGGCACTGCAGTAGAGTCTGAGGGTGAATGAGTGACAGAGAGAGAGGCAGAAGCAGAGACGAGCTGTGCATGCCCTGAAAAGGCAGGGGTTCCCGTGGGGGATGAGGAGGCCATTTTGTTTCCTGATGCGCTCTAGGGGTTTGGGAAAGTCACTTCACCCCTCTGGGACCTTTTCCTCATCAGTGAAGCCAGGATGATGGGGTAGCATTCCTGACTGCCTGGACAAGAAGATGCTCAGGTACCAGAAGATGCTCAGCCCAGCGGTTGGAGGGCCTCCAGAAATAGGGGATGCTGGCTGTGCTTATAACTCCATGTGGACCAGACCTCTGGGGAATTGCTACACGGCAGGTCTCACCGTTATTCCTGGAGACAGCTGCTGCTGGAGCTACTTTATGGTGGTCTTTGTTCAGCAGCACCGGATGGGCTTTTTCTGCTGCAGCCTCAGTTGAGACACACTCACAGACATGCACACGTGTGTGCATGCAGCCCAGGAGACTGTGCTCTGGAGTCTGAGTCGGGTGACCTGGGAACAGAGTACCCAGAAACCAAACCCATTGCCGTGGAGTTGATTCCAACTCATAGCGACCCTATAGAACAGAGTAGAACTGCCCCATAGGGTTTCCAAGGCTATAAGTCTTTACGGAAGCAGACTGCCACCTCTTTTCTCTTGCATAGCAGCTGCTGGGTTCAAACTTCCGACCTTTCTGTTAGCAGCTGAGCACTTTAAACAGCACCACCAGGGCTCCTTGGGGAGGGAATAAATAGTAGGGTTTTTTATGACTCCTAGCAATTATACTCCCTTACCATGTGGTTTAGAAGTCCCCAGTGGCACAAACAGTTAAAGCGCTCAGCTGCTAACCAAAAGGTTGGTGGTTCGAACCCACCCAAAGGCGCCTTAGAATTCAAGGCTGGAGATCTGCTTCTGAAAGGTCACAGCCAGGAAAAGCCTATGGAGTAGTTCTCCTCTGCCCACATGGGGTCGCCATGAGTCAACTCAGCGGCAGCTGGTGTCGGGCCACGGGGTCTAAGACAGGCTGTAGAGCATCCCACACTCCTGCTCAGCGGTATACCAGGCAGATGGCTTGAGTTAAGACATAGCAGCTGCTGCAACTCTCCTAAACAAATAAATAGCCTAAGTATAAATCTGTATCCCAAGTTCACATTCCCTATGCAGACTTTTAAGTCAAAACTTACTTCTAGAAACCCCTTTATCTCCAGGTAGGGGCATCCTGTGAACTACCTGGTTGCCTGAGTCTCTGACTCATTTTTCCTTTTAGGAAACCCATAAGATCCACTTCCTGCCCCCTCCCTTCATAGCTCATGGCCTTAACCCTTTCTGCCCTGCCATTTCCCAGCTGGCATGCCAAGACCAGAGGTGTTAGGATATTTGGGAAGCCACAGCCAGATGAGAAGTAGCGCTGCTCCCTGAGCAGGCCTCTGTGCTGGGGTCTCATTAGCATGCGTGAAAGGAGAGGCCGGCTCTAGCAGGTAGGGAGCCTGAGAGCCAGTGACATCCTGAGCTCCCAGAAGCAGTTGTGGCTTCAGATCTGACTGAGCAGGCTCCAGGCTGGCAGCATCAGCGAGCTCATCTGAAGCCCCAACAGATGTGCTAGAAATAGCCAGATTAACTTTGGCAAGGCAGGGTGTGCCCAGGTGGCTTGTGTTGGCTAGAGGAAGAGAAGGCGGCAGGAACAAGAGGGGGAATGATGCTTTCTCCTAGCGTTCGGAAGCCTTCCAGAGGCAGCGGGAAACCTCATGGTCCCATCCTGATCCCCATCCTGTCAGCAAGAGGCGAGACTTCCCCAACAAAGCAAAATGGAAATAGTTGACATGTGCGTCAGTGCACACAGTAGAGCAAGAGTGGAGAGTGGTATAGTCTGTCCAGTGTCTACCAGGGCAGGGTTGTTGTTGTGTTGTTATTACTATTATTATTATTGTTTGTAATGGTAAGTATTATTATTATAGGTATAATAATAATTTATTATAATAACAGTAATAGTAATAATAGTTACCATTTATTCAATACCCAGAGTTAGACTCTGCCAAGTGCTCTATAAGCACTAATTTAATTCCTGCTATAAGTTAAGGATTCTTTATCCCCACATTTACAGAAGAAGAAACTAAGACACAGAGAGGGTTAGTTGTTTGTCCAGGTCAGCTCATAAGAGATGAAGTCGGGATTCAAACCCAGGTGGGCCTGGCCCCTACACCCCCTTCTCTGAACTCAGGTACAGCCCTGGTTCCACCTGGCATCCCTGTGGAATGTGGGGTGAGGCCTCCTTGTCTGGCAGAAGCCAAGCTGGGCGGGACTAATGCAAGGGCCCTGGGTCTTGAGGTAAGAGGCTGACACTGTTGCGAACAGGACCATCTGGAATATCCACGTGCCTCAAGCAGTGGTCCCAGCACAGGAAAGCAAAGTCGCAAGGCCACCAGCCCACAGACAATTGCATTATTGGAAGAGTAGATGGCAGAGGAGCAAGAGCCTGGGCTTGGGGCCCTAGGGGCCTGGACTCAAACCCTTGCTCTGCACATCCTTCAGCCTGAGCTCGCTCATCTCTAGCGAGGGTTATTACTGCCATGGCCAAAGGGAGGCTGCGCAGGCCCAGTCAGCCCATGCCCCAGACAGTGTCTTCCCCCAGGAGACTGGCTGAGTACTCCCCAGGGGGAGAGCAGGGCCAGTTACCAGCAGTCTTTGAATGCCACTCATAAAAAAGTCAAACATACTTAAAACATATTTAAATAATATACTTTTGCCCCAGTCTCACTCTTCAGAAATAAGCATTACTAATACTTGAGTGTGCATCCTTCTCAACTTCACATGCACACATACCCACACGCACACACATACATACAGAAACACAAACACACATATACACACACAAACACACATATACACACACCCATACACACACACACATACACACAGGCTGGTCACACTGCTTCCTGTTCTGCCACTTGCCTTCCTCAGAGACATCTTGCCCTGCTGGTACAGGCTTTTCTACCACATTCTTTCTTTTTCACTGACTGCATAGAACTCCCAAAGCACAGATGTGTGAGATTTAGCCATCCCTTCCCTACTTGGTTTCTGATTTCTCACCATTACAGACAGTGCCTCACTGACCAGCCTCAAACGTACACTTCCACACGCACGCCTTGCACTCATACACTTTCTCTGGGCTAAATTCCTAGAGGTGGGGAATTACCAGGTCAGAGGGTGGGCTCCATTCAGTTTCTAAAGCAGGAGGACCCAGTGTGCCCCCCTGCACCAAGGAGGTGGCTAAAGATACCAGTGACAAGGACAGGTGTCTCCAACCCACGTCTTTCTCTTCCTCTCCAGATACGAGGTGATCTGCCAAAGCTCCGAGCTGGCCAAGGACATCCTGGTGCCCTCCTTTGACCCCAAGAACAAGCACTGTGTGTTTCAAGAGGACCTGCTGCTCTTCAGCTGTGCGGGCGCCCACCCCAGGCACCAGAGGATCTGCCCTTGCCGGGACTTCATCAAGGGCCAGGTGGCCCTCTGCAAAGACTGTCTATAGCGGCCATCCTCCCGGCCCCGGGCCGATGCTGCTGGGAAGGACAGCGGCCCCAGCCCCGTCGGGCATGGCCAAGGGGCAGACGCCCTTCTGGGACACCTGCCAGCCCTGACCTCTTTGGTGGGAAGGTCTCCGTCGGGCTTAGCTCCTGCTGCAGTCCGAGCTTTACAGCGGAGGAGTTTCCACAGAAACAAAACGCTGGTGGACATCTGGCCAGGAGCCTGGCCTCTCCCTGGCCATAGCTGCATTGGTATTTTTTGAGGAACAATTGTGGAGAGACTTTATCGATGCAGCTGCTCCAGGGTGAAAAGAAAACCTCCAGTTCATTTAAAAAAAAAAAAAAAAAGGAAGAATTGAGCTGATTGGAAAGAACTTTGTACAGGAAAATTCCTAAACCCATTAATTTATTTATTTGGGTGGGAGGGAGGGGGAAGTAAGGGAGGGAGAAGAGGAACTGATCTTGTTTCTTCTTTTGTTCCCCACTGCTAACCTGCCTTCTTTCTGATACTGTTCCTGTGGGCGGGGTGTGGAGGAGAAAGAAGGGACCGAGTGAGCTGTGAGGCTGGCGGCATGCGCGCCTCTAGGAACCTAGCTCCTCAAAGCGAATGGCGGCAGAACAAAAGGAAATCTTGCTTTTAAAACAAAGCCAAGCACTCCAGGGCATTGTGGGTACACCTGATCCTGCTTGTTGCCCAGAGAGCCCAGCCAGGGATAGGACATGGGAATGCCTGGCCGCTCCCCTCCGGGTTTCCCTCCCGGCCGGGCCCAGCAACCCTACCCCAGCCAGAATTACTGGTTAGAATCCCTTCAGAAAGGAAATGCGGGCTTTGGGGATTTACGCTTGCTAGTTAGTTTTTGCTAAATCCGCACTCCTCAAATGCCACCAGAAGGCGGAGGTATAAAGGAGGGACTCAGATTGTTGCTGGCTGCCTTGGAGGTCTTCCTCTCCAGGCCCTTCAGAGGGTCGTCTGGGAGCTGGGATTCCCACAGGAGTCGGCCCCCTCAGCAGGGTCCAGACAAGTGGGCAGTGTTGGCCTTCCTCTGATGTCTGGCATCGCCACAGGCCAGGGAGTGCGGCTCTCTGGAAAGTTGGCGTTCATTGGCGGGCAGGGGCAGTTTCTTTAGCAAATGCGGATGAATTGTGCCCTGGACGCTCACCTGTGGGTGTGGGAGTGGCTGGCAGGGGTGGGAGTGTGACAAAGCTTTCACTCCAGGCGCAGTGTTCTGAGGGGTATGAGCAGCAGCGTGGATGAGGCCGGAGCCAGTGGCAGATTGGCCTACTAGACACACTGGACTCCGCCTTCCAATACCTGGCGTCCCCGCGCTCTGCCTTTGGGAAAGGCCCCCTCCCCCAGCACTGTGTACTAGTCTGAGTTTCCCATGAAGCCCTGACATCTCCACGTGGTGAGAGCGAGCCCTCTCCTTGCTCTTGGTGAATGTCCCGTCATGAGCCGTCAGTGTGACCCACCCATCCTCGCTGCAGGTTTTGAGTGCCTTGCCTGCTCAGACCCAGGTCCCTCCAGGGGTTCTCGGGAGTGAAGGAAGGAAGGACTCTGCTTCATGGGGACCAGCGGGGAGTATGGAGCCTTTAAGTCTGGGAAGTTGGGATTCTGCCTGCTTCCCCATTTCTGCCTTTCTTCCCCAGTAGGTAAATCACACCAAATGCACAGCCAGACCCCATCTGAATTGCACCTCCAATCCTAGAGAATGGGGAAGGGGGTCTCCTCTATCCTTAGGTGGCCTGTGCGGACATCTGCCAAGAGAGGGTTGATGGGTGGCTTCTGCCCTGAGCAGATGCAGAGGCCCTTCAAGAACCGAGAACAGCCTTTGCCCGGACCCAGCAATGAGAAGGAGAAACAGTTGGCATCCTTGCTGTTAGGAACAGCTTTTCCCTGTGAATGGGTCTCTTGGCTGGGCTCTGGGTGTGGGAATTTTCGGCTTGAGTGCTCCCAAACCTGTAGTTTCCAGGCCGGTACCGCCCTCTCCTGGACCTTTCTTGGAGCTTCAAAAACTGAGGATGTCAGTGCTGGCATGCGACCAGCAGGGGGAGCCTGTGGGCCAAGCCTGATTTCCCAGGCTTCGCTGGGTTAACCCATCTTTTAGCAGCCCGATGTTGGCGAGTGGATTCTGACCCATAGCGACCTTATAGGACAGAGTAGAACTGCCCTGTAGGGTTTCCAAGGAGCAGCTGGTGGATTCGAACTGCCAACCTTTTGGTTAGCAGCCGTATCACTTAACCATTGCGCCAGAGCTATGTAAACAAGCACAGGGATTAAAGAAAGGAAGGAAGCTGGAAAGCAAAGTACTGTGAAAACAGAGTGTCCCTGCCGTATGTTTTAGAAGCTGCCTGAATTGTTGGTGGGCTGTTCCTGAGCTCAGGGTCCTCCAGGCCATCTTGATAACCCCTCAGCTGTCCCATTCTTCTCCAAGCGAGGAGGAGGGTCGGGCAGCCCCGCATAGTACCTTCCCCAGTAAGAGAATCCTCTTCCTTCCTCCAACCCTGGTGCTGGATAAGCCAGAGATCTGGCTAGGACTGCTGCTCTTGGGGCAAACCAACCCACACTCCAGTTGTTGAGGGCATTATCAATAGAGTTGTGATACTGGAATGAATCCTGGTTCTGGGGCCTCCTCAGGCTTGGCTAGGTTTAGTCAGTGTGCCCTGTGAAATGGGGGAGGGGTGTTCCTCTGCTTGGTGTGGAAGACAGGACTCCTGCCTGTGCAGAACAAAGGGCCTCTGACAGTGTGAGCTGGGAGCCTGCAATGATTTGGTCCGCGACCTTAATAGAATCCTAAACCGATCTGTAACTGATGACACTTCCATGAGGAGAGAAGTCTGTAGCAGAATCAATGTTTTCCTAAGCTATAAGCATATCTTTCCCGGTCTTTTAAGTTTTTGTATGGGTTTTTTTTTTTTTTTTCCTTAAGTGAAATTTGGATATTTTTTTCCCCATGGTGAGCTTAAGTTCTTAAAAAATTTTGAGGAAAAGCATTTATCTAATTTATTAAAAGAGAGGAAGCTTTCCTTTGAAAGGTAAAGTGGAGAAACATGCTTCTTTTAATGCCAGTAAACACCTCATTTCTTGCGTGTATGCAATTTGATTTGCACATATACAAATGGAAAAGCTCTTTACATTTTTACTTAGATTGAGTTTTTGTCACCACTTATAACTTGCTCTTTTTGCGTATGCCATGTGTTTAGAAATGTTAAAGTCTGTCTCTTTGGTGATATTTATTGTTTCTCTGATGTGCCTTTTCAGTTTTCTTTGAGGCTAACTTTCTGAATCTGGGTGCTGTTTAAAGGACTATAGCCGACTCCAGCTTAAGAGATAAGGCATGTTCTGGGTTCACTGCAGATGCCCAGGCTATATGCCAGAAATGCCCCCCGTCCCCACTAGGCCACAGCACCCAAGCACATGCAGACACCTCCAATTCTGCCAGACCAGCCTGTGCCCTCCAGGTCTGCTGGGCCAGATGGTTGGGTCTGTCTGGGGATGACTGCCTGTAAATGTGCTGATGGGGCTGTCCTCCCTGCTGCCCAGGCTTTGCTGAGTGTGGCCAGGGCAAATACCAACCCTCTCAGAGTGCATTCAAGGGGAGCACAGCCCCACTGAGCTCATCAGAAGCGCTAGCCCAGAAACACTTCAGCTGGCTGGCATCATGAAGGGCGATGACTGTGCCCCCTCATCTGTGTTTCCTTAGTGAATGCAGGGTTTAATGAAGGGGAATGATTAGTTTCTTGCCTTTGGGAGTAGAGCCCCAAAAGGACATGGCTCACTGGTAGTGAAGGCATAAATGCCTCAGGTTGGACTGAAGCTGTGTGTTTATAGGTGGGTGTGTACTTTTTGGACCAGACCAAGGCAGGCCACCCCATTTCTCTGAGGTGGTTTACCTAGATTGTGTATATAATTGGGAGACTCCCCCTTTCCCCCATTCCCAGAAATTCTTGATTTAAAGAAAAAGTCTATTTTGTTAACGACAGGCTCTGTTGTATGTGTTACTGTCCCAAGCCTGGATTGTTTTATTTATTTAAAATATTTTGATTTCCATATTGGCTTCTCTTTAATCCCCTCCATCCTTATGAGGCTGCTGAGCATCTTCATTTGAGTAGATGGATGAACAAAAATAGATTCCTGTTCATTTAGGAAGGTGGGAATTTCCTAAAGCTGAGAACGAGTTCCTTTCATTCTTATTGGCTTCCACAAAAAGTGGAAAACCAACTCTTTCTAGCAAACGGCCACACTAGCTGTATAGTTGGATGCAGAAAAAAAAATTACCCTAGCTTTCTTAGCGCTTAGGGTTTTTGTGAGGAGTCACGTTTAGCACAGTGCCTGGCGCATAGTAAACCGTAGTAAATGTTAAATATTGTTGTTACTATTAGCATTTCATGAGATTTGAGAAGTAAAGAGCTGACCTCACTCCCTATCTGTTGATTCAAAAGTCATACCTACATGAAAATGTTATTCCAAGTGGATTAAATGTTGTAGGACTTTCGTCTAGAATGTCCAAGTTCTGTACCTACCCTGCTAGCTGAAGTTTTTCTGTATCCCGGAATTCACTGAGTGATTTGAAAATATGCCATGATTCAGCCCCAAATGAAGCAAAGCTGCAAGGGCTTAAAAACTGGAGATGCAAAGGGTAAAGGTGACCTTCGGCCACATACCTGGACGTCACCGTCCTCAATCATGTCTTCTGGGCCATTCAAGGGATTTTCTTTGAGGAATGTTTTGATCCAGAAATTAAAATGAGTTGTCTGACAGATTGAATCCCTTAATCATAGTCCTCTGAAATGCAGTAATGGAGGTTTTGTTATTTAAGGAGGAATGACCAATGGAACTTGCTCATTTCCCAGAAAGTCCCTTTGCCCCCTGCTGGCTAGGGTGGCCCCTCCTGTCCAAAGGTTCAAATTCCCAGGCAGGTTACCTCTCCCATGTTTCCATCAAATTAAAGTTCAGTTCCATGGCCCTAGTCCCGGAAGAGGCCTACCTGTGTCCCAGTCCAGCTCGGCCAGGCTGGAGACGCCAAGTCCACACATGACCACTTGGGCGGTGGTGGGGTCTCCTGGCCTGCTCAGGACAGCTCCCAAAGAGACTGCCCATGGTTTAACAAGGTTTTCCCAAATCACCTAATTATCAGTTACCTTTTTGTTTTGTTGGGGCTTGGCTTCTTATTCCCTTGGCAAATTTAAAGTGTTATCTCCTATCCTATCTGTATGACTCTGGATAATGATTTTAGTTGTAGACTATGAGGGAAATTTCTGGAATCCAGTGTCATCTTCAAATTCCTTTGGATTCTCTTTTGCTGAATACAGTTGTGTAGGTCTAGGGATGTATGTTGGACTTGACCTTCAGAGCACCACTTCCTTTATCCCAGAATCTGTGAAGTCTTAATACCATCTCCTCCCCCTACCCCACCACTGTAGCTGGTGAAGCGCAGCAAAGGGAGATAGCAACAAAAGGGGAACTGTGTGTTTGTACAGTGGCAGTGCTCGTGTCTGAAGATGAGGGGTGGGCACTCAGAGAATTTGGGGTGCTGGAGGGCAAAGGGACAGCAGGCCGGGAACCTGCACAGTCTGTCATCTTCTCCAAAGCAGAGATAGAGCAAACTTGGGACGTGTTTTTCTCACTTTCCCACCCAAGTACTAATGAGACAGCAGTGTCACAATCGATGCCAAAGGAGATGGGGGCTCCCCTCTGTAGTTGCTGTCACAGCCCTGACGCCTTGCAGCTCATGGCAGTTCTCATCTGTCTTCAAACAACTGGGTGCAACCATGTTCTACTGTTCACCTCTGGGGTTATGTAGTGCAGGATTCTGCAAATAAGGTGTCGCTGTCCAAACGTACTGTACTGGCATAGAGAGCACTGCTTTGTTTTCCACTGTTGTAGAGAAAATAGGGAGAACTTTATTTTTCAATAAACTTTTCTTGTGTGACAGGTGGAAGTGATTTTTTGGGGGGGTGAGTGGGCACAGGGTCCCATGAAGAACAAGCAGCGGCTGTCCAGCTGCAGCCCCACGCTGGATTCCACTGACCCATTCACATTTTGCAAACACACTGTTGAAAGTGAGTGGAGGGGGAGAGGTTTTACTATTGCGTATTTCCCTTATGTCACATCTACCAGCATTCAGAGCGCGCTCTCTGCCCTGTGTTTACCTACCAGGGAGCTGAATTTGAAACTGGAAGCTAGTGCTTTTTTTTTTTTTAAGGTAACTGTATACCACAACAGACATATAAAAATCTTTTAAGATGGGCTAGCAAAATAGCCCTAAAAAGTGTCTGAGGGCCAGACCTTGAATATGTTTCTCCCCCCACAAAAGATTAACTTTTGAACAAGGGTTCTGTGGTCCACGTCACCGGTTGCTGTTACGGCGACCCCATGTGTCAAAATAGAACTGTGCTCCATGGGGTTTTCAATGGCTGATTTTCTTGGAAGTAGGTTGCCAGGCCTTTCTTCCAAGGTACTTCTGGGTGGACTCAAACCTCCAACTGTTTGATTTATAGCCGAGCATGTTAACCATTTGCAACACCTGGGGACTCCCGGAGTCCATGAGCACTTAGTTACGCAAATGCCCTGGAAACATGAGGAAGGTCAAGTTAGCGGCCACGTTGACGGGCTTGTCTGCAGGTGGTGGTGTGGCTGCATGGTTTGGCCCTCTGCAGTAGGGGGCAACCCTGAAGTCGTCAGACCTGGCTACTGCCTGGAATGAAGAAGACACCACACAGTTCCCATAAGTGTTTAGAGAACACAGATCCCAAAAAATGTGCCAAGGAAAAATGGAGCGCTTCAGCTGGGGGAATGCTACATTGTCCCTCCGCGAGCTTTCACAATGCATATTAAATTCAGTGAGAAATGCTGCAGAAAAGGAGCATATCTACTTGCTGGGCCACTCGATCCTTTGTTCACGGAACATTAAAATCCCATCCAACACTCAAAATGCCCTTGGGGAAACCACAGTGAAAGCATCAGAGCAAACCAAGGTTCAGTGGCCCCATAGAACAAACATCCCTCCCTTCACCAGCCTGAAACAGCCCGATGGGAGACGGGGCAGGGAGGGCTGGGGAATAGCCACCAAGGACCACCTCCCTCCAGGAGATTCCAGCACCACCAAGTGAACACACATCCACTCTCCTCCCTACCCAAGCACCTGGCAGTTGCCTGACTGAGTCAAAAAGCCCTTCAAGGTCCTCACTCAGACCTGCCCCAGTCACAATCACCCCCTCCCACACCCTCCTCAAAGGGAGTCATTCAGCCACCTGGGAAACCTGTCCATGCCAGAGTTCCTGCATGCTGGTGCCGCATGGTGACAACCCACACAGATTACCTCCCCATACCATACAAAACAGGTCAAGTCTTTATTGGTCAGACACTGCTGCCTGGAGAAGCAACAGTCCCAGAGGTACAGAACTTTGCATGTTGGGGGGACATTTTTACGGACTCTATATCTAACGTTACATACACGGAGCATGTCTTGTTCTTTACAGAGTAAGCAGCCATCTCTAACAGACTGTAATGTACCATTACCACTTCACACAGCATATAGATATATGCATATATGGATAAAGATTATTATTATTACAAATCATCTGTAGTTTCACAGCTCTCAAAAAATGGATCCTGTATTTACATTTATGTTCAACTTCTGAATGTTCAAGAAGGGGTCGTGTGCTTGGCTCGTCCATGCAAAGCTCATATATCGATCACTAAGTACTTTGAAAATAGAATGGTCTCCTTTTGAACAAATCTGTTTAGATTTAGGATTAGTAAAACAGCATAGAACTAATGAAATACAGCGATAGAAATTAGGAAGTGATACACTGATGTTCTGGGTCTGTTAAGGGGCGGGGAGACAAGAGGGTGCAGTCTTCCCTTAAAATCTGCCAGGAGCTGAGACTTTGGAATTAGGAGCTGGCAGGGACCACCTAGAGTCCAGAGGGTGTGGGTCTGGTCAGTTGCTATCCATTTCAGGCTTAGAGCACCACAGAAGAACTTTCTGCCACGCTGAGATCTTACCCCACTGGCAAGAACATTTTTACTCCAGAAAATAGAAAATGTCAGTTACAGCTGGAGAGTGGGAGAGCGTGTCTCCCCTCCCTGCACATTGTCCTGCTACATTTGATGGGGCAGTGGTGTGGGGGGTGAGGGGGAGGGGGCAGTGCAGACCGATGTGCTGGGCAGACCTCGTCCCAGGAGGACAAACTTTATGAAAGAAAACTTCCAAAAAAAGAAACTGGATGTTCCGTTAAATGTTGGCACCATCGGCCTCTGTGGAAACCTCTTGTGGTCTTGACGTTCTTCATGCTGATGGGGCAGCCAGCTTGGCCCCGCAGCCACCTTCACTCAAACATCTCGTAGTGGCGGGTCTGCCTCATCCTTGGCACCATGTCGATGAGGAGTCTGCAGAGAGGAAAACAGACATGGTCACCTCAATACCTGGCCCTCCACGGCCCTTGTTCTGGAGGGCTTGGGGAAGCAGAGAGGAACTTTTTTTTTAAGATATAATTCACATACCATAAAATCCACCCTTTTAAAGTGTACAATTCAGTGGTATTTAGTATAGTCACAAGGTTGTGGAACCATCACCACTATCTAATTTCAGAACATTTTTATCACCTCAGAAAGAAACCCAGGACCCAATAGCAGTCACTCTCCATTCCCCAACATGCCTACTCCTCCCCGCCGCAGCCCCTGGCAACCACTAATCTACTTTCTGTCTCTATGATCCCTGCTCGGGTCTTCCAGTCACTGGCCATCACTCGGCATTCGGATCAGGAGGTCACGGGTATGAGATGTGACTTTCAGCATTCTGCTGTGTCGTTTCTGGTGGGAGAAGGGGTTGGGTTGGGAAATGCAGACCTGGAAGGAGACACTCACTTGACCCCGTAGGCAAATATGGTGAGGCCGATGAGCACACCTATGCTGCCGTCCAGGTACCAGACAGCCGTGTTATGCTTAAACACTTCTGCACTCAGGAGAATGGAGAAGCCCATCACACCGCCCACAAGGGAATTAAACCCTGCAAAAGAAGCAAAGAGAGGCTGGAGCTCAGAGCCAAGCCAACTTTGTTAAGACACCAAGAGAATGACCAAAATGCCAGGCGGACCTCCACACTGCCTAGAAGCTCTCACAGATGACAGCCACTACCTCAGACGCCTATGTGACTTGTCAAGCCTTGGCTCAAATGTCACCAGAGACTTCCCTGGACAGAGCCCTCACCCCAATGCCAGTCTCCACCCCTTGTTGTTGTTGTTAGCGGCCCTCAAGTCAGCCCCTGACTCATAGTGACCCCATGTACAACAGAGCGAAACGCTACCCATTCCTGAGCCATCCCATGATAGGTTGGGGGTCACTGGCTAATTTTCAGAAGTAAATCACCAGGTCTTTCCTCCTAGTCTGTCTTAGTCTGGAAGCTCCACCGAAACCCGTTCAGCATTATAGCAACACACAAGCATCCACTGACAGATGGGTGGTGGCTGCACATGAGGTGCATTGGCCAGGAATCAAACCTGGGTCTCCTGCATGGAAGGCAAGAATTCTACCACTGAACCACCACCAATGCCTCTCTCCACCTTGCTGTATTTTCTTCCCAGCAATTATGATGATGTCACTAGTATGTGTGTGGTTATTGCTTGTCTTCCTTCCACGCCCACTAGAATGTAAGCCTCAGGAGGGGCAGGGGTTTTGCTTTCTGTTGAATTTGCAGTCCCCAGGACAGTGCCTGGCACACAGTAGGCATTCAAATACTTGTTGACTCAAATCTGTTGCATGTCTACTGGGCCAAGTACCGAGCTGTGTGTTGAATATGTGTTATGGCATATAACTCTTCTCAATCCTATGAAGTCAGATTATTATCCCCATTTTACTGATGAGAAAACTAAGTTGAGTATTAAGGAAAAAAAAAAAAAAACCAAACCTGTTGCCATTGAGTCTATTCCAACTCATAGCAACCCTGTAGGACAGAGTAGAACTGCCCCATAGGGTTTCCAAGAAGCAGCTGCTGGATTCGAACTGCTGACCTTTTGGTTAGCAGCCGAACTCTTAACCACTGTGCCACCAGGGCTCCAAGCTGAGTATAGTGAGGTTAAATAACTTGATGCAGGTTACACAGATTGAGAAACTGGGATTCTACCTAAACTCATATTCTTTCCTTCCAAGTTATTTTTGTTGGTTGCTGCCAAGTCAACTCCAACTCATGGAGACCTCATGTACAACGTAACGAAATGCTTCCCTGTCCTGGGCCATCTTCATGATTGTTGGCATGTTTGAGTTCATTCTTGCAGCTATTGTGTAGTGCCTTCCAAGGTAGGGGGCTCATCTTCCTGCACTATATTATACAATATGCTATTGTGATCCATAGGGTTTTTGTTGGCTAATTTTTGGAAGTAGATCACCAGGTCTCCCTTCCTAGTCTTAGTCTGGAAGCTCCACTGAAACCTGTCCACCATAAGTGACCCTGCTAGTGTTTGAAATACCAGTGGCATAGTTTCCAGCATCATAGCAACATGCACACCACCAGAGTCTGATGAACTGACAGGTGGGTGGTGGTTGTTTTTCCTTACATAGTCTCCTCTAAGTAACCTAACGATTTTCGCTCTCTCTCCAGGAAGAGAAATGCAAAGTTTAGAATTAGCTACATGGGTGAAGAAATGGCAGTAAAAACAGAGATGGCGCTAACAGATTTTGGTCACCATCTCTTTTTGCATGTCACCTCCTTTGGGTCTCACAACTTAGAGATCACAGTTCCATTTTTACCTGAGTTTGCAAAGGCCACATATAAGAGAATGGCTTAGGATAGCTTCTAGGTCTCCCTGTGCTGTGAGCCACAAGGCTCCTTGCCTACCTTAGAGTCATGCTGACCCCAAAGAAGCTCTGGTGGTCCCCCCAGGCCTGATAGCTGGTCCGGGCAGGGCCCAGCTGAGCCATCATCTACTGCCAGAAGCTTCTCCAACAACAGACCCTGGTTTGTTCCTGGGGAAACTCCACCTGCATAATAGTGCCATGCTTTTGCTGAATTCAAAAACCCTAACTCCAGTTACAAGCAGGAGAATTGAGATCAAACAGCCTTAAATTCAGGGCTGTCCACCTAGGTGAGAGAAGAGCAGGGGAGAGGAAAAATTTGGGGACAGGGATGATTTCAGCAAAGCCTGGGTAAGAGCCCTTCCCAGATGGCCCAAGGTGTGGGGCTCAGTGGGTTGCTCCCCAACAATCTTGGGAACAAGACGAACCTGGGGCCTGCAAGGACACCTTGGGGACTGGCCTGTAACACTGATTGACTATTGCATCACACCCTTTCTCTCCTCAAATCTCCGACATCCCTCCCCCGACTCCAAGGCTGATGCCTTGGACTTCTTAGAGCAACAATGTTTGGACAAGAATGATCTCATCCTCCAAACACCAAACCCACCACCCCCTGTAGCTGCTGCTTCAACAGTTCAGCTACTTCTCTAGGTATCTCTGTTCCAGTGTAAGACTAACTTCTCCATACCTGTTCACCTCAAAGGACTTTATTCTTGCAATTATTCTCCCTCTCTCCCTGATCATTCCCACTGAGATACAAACCATATATTACCATCAACACCCCTATTCTCTGTTACTAGTTGCCATTGAGTCAATTCCAACTCACAGTGATCCATGTGTGTCAGAGTAGACTGTGTTCCACAGAGTTTTCAGTGGTTGATTTTTCAGAAATAGATCTCCAGGTCTTTCTTACAAGGCACCTCTGGGTAGACTCAAACCACCAACCTTTCGGTTTAGCAGCCGAGCATGATAACCACTTGCACCACCCAGAGACTTCTCTATTTTCTACTACCCTTCACAAAACTCCTTCAAGAATTGTCTACCTAAGACGCCTCCACACTCATACCTCCCATTTTCTCTCCAACCCATTCCAATCAGGTAACCTCTTCCCCACCCTTACTGAGGCCATCCATGAATGACTCCAGGTTGCCATATGCAATGGTTAATTCCTTGTCCTTGCCTTACTCCCTCCTTCTGGGAGCTCTTCTTCCTCCAGTCTTCCCTGACTGCACTCTCCTGGTTTTACTATGTCCTCTCTAGCATCCTTCTCAGCTGCTTTGCTAGATCCTCCTCCTCCTCTCAGCCTGAGTGCCCAGCTCAGTCTTCTGACCTCTTTTCTATCTACATTATCCCCCTAGGTTATCACCTCGAATCCCATAGGCCAATGTCTCTCACATTTCTTTTTCCTGACCTTTCCCTTAAGCTGCAGACCCACTCATGTAAGCATCTCATACTTAACATGTTCAAAGCTGAAATCTCAATTACTGCCTCCCAAAAGCTTCACCCTCTAGCCACCTTCTCTGTAAAGGGTGCCACCATTGCCCAGCTGCCAAGATCAGAAATCTAGAAGCCTGTTATGAATTGAATTGTGTCCTCCCACACCCACCGCTCTCTTCTTGTTCACTGGGCTTCAGCCACACTGGCCGCCTCCAACAGCCCACTCTGCCCTCACCTCAGGGCCTCTGTCCACTCTTCCTCTGCAGAACAGCCTGACAAAGGGCTTTCTGTAGGTGTCCTGGGGAGAGCTGGCTGGCAGGGGCTGGAGGAGTTATTCAGCTTCATCTGAGATGCGCCCACCAACTCCCGGTCCTGAGAGCAAATCTCTGCATCTTCTCCTCTCCTGTGGAGGTGAGGGCCAGGCAGGCTCCCACCCTGAGGCTGCCCCAGCTACCCCTGCTCAGGTGTTCTGGGCAAGGGTGGTGCAGGGCCCACCACAGGACTGTGGGGCTTGCTTCTGTGGCTCCTCCTAGACCCTTGCCCCTGGACAAGGAAGAAATGGGCCCAGCAGCCTTTCTGTTTCCATGCAGTTCATGTAGCAAGACTCTCTTGTCCCTATATATTTTGTGAGCACAGTCACCCAGCTGCAGCCTTTTATCACTACACTTGAAAGCCTTGTGTCCGCCACATCCTTCCCAGCCTTTTGCCTGCTGGGACACTGTAACTACCTCCCCCTCCCCATCCCTGTCCTTGAGTTGTGGCTTCTGCAGACCAGTCCCTTGATTCTGCCTCCATCCTCCCTAAGTAAGGGGGCGGGAGCCCACTCTGAGGAATGGAAGCTATATTTTCCTCCGGTCTTCAGACACATGGAGAATATACTTTTCCTCTCCCATTACCATTGGCAGGAGTTTACCCTCTTGTTTCCGGCTGTCCCTTGAATCTTCCTGTTCTTTTTAACAGGTGGTATTAGACCAGTCCTCTTCCAAAAAAAAAAAAAACAAAATCTCTGCAGCCCACATCTTTTCTCATAAGGACACCAAAAGCACTGTCACAGGCCACCTGGGCTACAGTTTACCTCTCAGATACTCTCAAAGTTAGGAGAGTTTTGTTTTGGGGGGTGGCTAGAGGAAAGGGAAGGAGTCCCTGGGTGGTGCAAACAGTTAACACACTCGGCTGCTAACCAAAACATTGGAGATTCAAGTTCACCCAGAGGCACTTTGGAAGAAAGGCCTGGAGATCTTCCAAAAAATCAGCCATTGAAAACCCTATGGAGTACTGTTCCAGTCTGATACACATGGGGTTGCCATGAGTCAGAGTCAACTTCACAGAACTGGTAACTGGTTTGAGGAAAGAGTTGGAGAGTAGCTAACTGCCAACCCAGGGCAGATGTGAACCCTCCACTCCCCCTTCTCCATCTTTGCTATGGCACAAGTGGGCTCTTAGAGCCCTCAGAGAAGCCTGGTGAAACCTGGAAAGGATGCAGAGAGCATGAGGTTACCCTAGACGGCCACTAGATGTTCACTCAGCTCCACCAAATCACCCCACTCTGCCTGCGCCTGACGGGAAGAAAGACCATCAGGTGCCAAGGGCAGCTCAGCCGGTGGTCCCTCCACCCTGAATAACGCTCCCCAAATGATGCACAGCTGCGGAATCCGTGATGGTCCACCCCATTCACCTGCATCTTCCAGGAGGGCCTTTTGCCTGCTCAGCTTGTCTTGCCTCTTGTCATGACAGAGCCTGACTCACCTCAGCTTCAGCCCGTGTGAATGAGCATACCTAGACTGGGGAAACAATTCTGTGTCTGCCCTGCTGCCCTTCAGAAGTTTAGAGACTTCCCAGCATCGGCTATTCCACGTGAAGAACCCTCAGCTCGCAGCCCTCACTCACCGGACCCAGTCTTACCAAAGGCAGCACACCGGGTCCTATATCCACCGCTCACTTCCAGGGTCCCACCCCACCCCAACCCAGGCCCATGACTGTTCTAAAGAATAAATGCTGTTACCCTTATACATGCTTCTAACTTGGAACTGAAGCCATTCCTGGAGATCACCTTTCAGCCAAATAATAGACAGGCCTATAAAACAGTAACACCCATGAGGAAAGGCTCCTTAGAGCAATCATCTCCATCAGACCAAAAGGGCAACATCTGTCCAAAAGCAAAGACGAGAAGGCAGGAAGGGTCAGGAAAAACAGACAAATGGAAATAGGGAACTCAGGGTGGTAATGGGGAGAGTGCTGACACATGGGGGGATTGCAACCAGTGTCACGAAACAATTTGTGTATTAACTTTTGAATAGGAAACTAATTAGCTCTGTAAACCTTCACCTAAAGCACAATAAAAAATTTTTAAAAATTAGACAAGATTTACTGTGCTGCATAAAGTGAGGCAGTCTGGGATTACCCACAGTCTCCATTATCCACCCCCTGCTGACCCCCTTTCCCAGGAGATCTGCTTCCTGCTGTAAGGACACACCCAACTGCAAAGGATCCAGGGGAGTCAGCCTGACCCAGTTTACACACAGCTTCAGCTGGTGAACCAGACACCCCGCTGGCTAACAGATAAGACCCTCCTCCCTGCCTGCAGGAGAAGCAGTTTGCTGAATTTGCTTCCTTGGAGAGGAAATGCCTGGCTCAGCGCCTCCTCTCCAGCCCCAGCCCCCAGATGCATCCCCACCTTAGAGGCCACAAGGGACGCACTCCGGAACCACTCCCTGGGAGAACCCCCATCCCTGATGACAAGGTCATGTGGGACCCCCACCCCCACCGCGGCAGCCTCCAAAAGTGAGGGAAGTACAGAGGAGGTAATTACAGATTGTTCCCTAATTCTGCTAATCAATGACTGAGGAAACCCAGATCCCAGACAATACAATTAGTAGGAGGCTGTAATTACTGCCGCAGATTTCTCTCTCTCTCTCTCTTCCCCTCACACTCACTCACACACACACCAATTCTCAACCTGATGCCCCCACACCCCCAGCAACACACACAAACACACAACACTCATGGCCAATTCATCCCAAGCCTGACCACTTTATAAATATTGCCTACATTTCCTCAAATCCCACCACTTCCCTCCACCCTCTCTGCCCCCACCTTTGTCCAAACCACCATCATGTCCTCAGCTCTGCAGAGGCCTCCCCATGCTTCAGCTCTCACCTCCTTCCAATCTGTTCTTCACCTTTGACAGCAAGAGAGCTCTTTAGAAAGCGTCGATCATCCTACCCCATCTGTTTAAATGGTTGCCCGCTATATTTAGCAAAACATCCAAACTCCTAACATTGACCCAAAGTCCTGCAAGATCTGGCCCCTGTTCACTGCTGGGCTTCCCTTCCCCGCCTCCCCCCTTCCTCACTCCCAACCTCCACATACACTAGGGACCTCAATGCCCTGGGCTTTCCTGCCACAGGATTTCCTCTGCCTGTGGCAACTCTCTCTCATTTTTTGCCCAGTTTGTGGAACCATTTTGACTTAAATCATCTACTTCTCTTTGTAATGACTGCTCTCTGGTTCAAGAATAAATAGGAATATTGCTTACGTGTGAGGATGGTTTTGTGTGCAAAAATTACAAAGTCAGAAGTTACTCCATTAGGAAAAAGCATATTCACCATAGGATTCTCCTCAATAAGAACTATAAAATGAAGGGAAGTTAGAAGAAAAGTGAAGCCCAAATAGAAATTTATTGTTTTTGTTAGCTGCTGTTGAGTCAGCCCCCAACTCATGGGGACCCCAGGACCATTGTGATCCACAGGGTTCTCACTGGCTGATTTTTTAGATGAAGATAGCCAGGCCTTTCTTCCTAGTGTCAGCTCTGTAGAACCCAGTTCAGCATCATAGCAATACACAGGCCTCTACTGATGGATGGTGGCTATGCATTAGGTGCATTGGCTGAGAATCAAACCTATGTCTCCCGAATGGAAGGGGAGATTTTACCACTGAACCACCAATGCCTCACAAATAGAAAATTAGTACCTGGAATATCTATAACATTAGGTGAGAACTGCTAGCCAGGGCAGAGGGCCCATAGTTCTGAGAAGATGGTGGTCTTGCCCCACTGTCCATGGGCAGGCGGAAGGCAGGGCCTCCTGCCTAGGAGGAGGGTCGCTTCTTTCCTCTCGACTACAGTCAACTAAAAGGATGAAAATGTGAAGCCGCTGAAATCAGAAGCGTGTTGTGAATTAACCTCCCACCTTGGAACTGGGAGAGGAGCTCCTCAGCCCAAGAAGGGGGCATACTCATCCAGAAAGAAGGCATACCCGTCCAGAAAGAAGGCATCCTGCAAGGGCAGAAGTAAACACCAGATGTCTACAGTGGGCACTTGAGGGAGAGTTCTGGGAGCTGCTGGTTGCAATGGCATGTATGAGCACTGGAGACTACAGGGCCTGCCCTCACCGGCATGACGCTGTATCTGGGCCCCTTAGGGTGGGCGTGGAGGCAGCATTGCCGGGCATATCAGTGCCCAGACCACAGTGTGCACCATATGGACTATGGTGTTGGTTTAAAATATTACTTCCTGAACCCTACCTCAAACCCCCGGAATCACAATCCTCAGGGGTGAGGCACAGGAGTCTGTTTTTAACAAACACCCCAAGCGAATCTGATGCGGCCGGCCTGCAGTGGTCAACTGACTGGCATCTGGGATAGCCTGGTTCTGCAGTCAGGATGTCAGATGGCATACTCAGCTTCTTCAGGCCTGTTCAAAGCACCCCCACCCATATACACACACAGGTGATGCTATTCCCAGGGTTAAAAAAAAAAAAACAGTTGCTGTTGGGTTGACTCCAACTCCTAGCGACCCCATGTGTGTCAGAGTAGATCAGTGCTCCACAGGGGATTCAATGGCTGATTTTCCTCCAGGCCTTTCTTCTAAGGTGCCTTCAAGTGGACTCAAACCACCAACCTTTCGGTGAGCAGCCAAGTGTGTTAACTGTTTACACCACCAAGGGACTTCATTCCCATGGTGTTGCCATGAGTTGGAATCAACTAGACGGCCACTGTTTTTTTTATTCTCAGTGTAGCAGAGGTTAAAAAGCTGGAGGCTCTCCTCATGTCTTCCTGAGAGAAAGTGCTGTAGACTCAAGAGTGGAGAGCAGGAAGAGGGTGGTTGGCTCAGGGACAATTGATTCCTGGGCAAGGACAGCCAGCCCACCCATCAGGGGACTGCAGGCCCCCTCCCCCTAGTGCTGCCAGCATATCTGCCAACAGTTCTCCCTACCTCTGTGGATTCTTGGACCCGAGATTAGCCCCAGGTAGCAACATCACTTTCACTTCCTGCCCACCGGTCTGCTGTATAAAAAGTGCAGGCTCCATACACAGCAGGACACCACATCAGATGGAGCCCACACAGTCACCAAGCTCCATTACTTGGGTGAGTGAGAGCCCTCTACACTGCCATCCTCCCTTTCCACAATGTAACACAACAACCACCCACCCATGTCTACATCCACATATGTTACATAAGAGAGAACCTTGACCATTTGGGAGGGGAGGGGAACATGTTTCCTTTCTTAAGAAAGATAAATTCAACTCTTTCTGCCCATTTTGTGCAGCTATACCCACCACCCCATAAGCTTTTAGCCTTTGACCTCCCACCCCAGGACACAGGGGCTCACCACTTCACACCGGGCTGCCTGGGAACTGCATGTGCTCAAGAATGAAGGCCAGGCAGTACTATTTGTCAAATTTCTTGTTTATATGTTGATGCTAGTTTGAGACCTGAAATGCTTTTCCTACTTTCCAATAGCCAGCTCTCTCTCATCCCAAAGGTCCAGGTAGGAAGCTCTTGCTGACCCAAAGGGACACAAAGGGACATTTTGAGCCAATTTGGGTTTTAAGCAGAGGGGAACTCAGGGATCGTTTTCCTAGCTAAGGCACTCTGCTAACTGCAGCTTGATCACCCAGGTAAGCATCTTATTGGCTGAAGGGGAAACAAGCACAGAGAAGTCATAAAGAAAACTTTTACAGAATCCAGAAAAGACATTTACCTTTTATTCAGAGCAATGCACATAAAATCCCAGACTCCAGGAAGCCCTTTGTGCTTTGTGATTTAGAGACTGGAGATCCCAAGCCTCCCCATTAGAAGGTCAGGCTGGAGGTGATCCATGAAGAGTTAAATTCCCAGGGACTAAGACATATGCCTGATGTGAGAACCCTGAGGCTCATTAAACAGCGTGGGGGAGAAGGGTGATGAGAAATGGGATTCCAAAATACTTCTCCTGTAAGACAAGCAACTAAAAATGACCCAAATAGCATCTCCCTTCACTGCAAGCCCAGCCCCCAGAGATCAGACATGCTGGTCTTACTCACCGTCAGTTATGAGCGCTCTGCTCGTCAGAACCTTCCCCAGCATAAACTTCAACACGGCCAGGATGCTGCAAAGGATCCCACTTAAAATGGAGACAGTGAACAGGAAATCGTCCTGAAAGAGAAAGTTCCAGATTTCAAAAATTTACCTCCTGCTAGAGCAAATCACCTGCAAACCATTCTCCTTAAAGACCAGCTTTGCTCCAACTACAAATAATAAGTTGGGCGTGCTGCCACCAGGTGGGGGTGTACTGCATGCTTTCATACCTAAGTTACTTGTGCCACTGACAATCAGAAAAGGTAAGAAATAGATAATGCAGATTTATATGTATTTCTTTTCCTGTAGGAGATTCAACTTCCCACTCTTTTGCTAAAATGATTGGCAATCAACCATCAATAACAGAGTTGGTCAGAATGCTAAGAGCAAAGTGTCTTCTCTGCAGTTTCCCACAGATAATTCACAAAGCAGTGGACTGAGAATTTTGGAACACAGAAGTACACCACTGGCCGAAGAACCTTCAACACAGAGCCAGGTGAATTTGCCATGGGGTAAATTATGGCCAGAGCTACTTACAACCATATTTTTTCCTTAAATTCACACAAGGCAATGGGGAGTTCAAACATAACTTTCAAGGTGGGAAAAAAAAAATCTAAAAATATAGTCCGCTATTGACGTTATCTTAACACTCCCTATAAATTGTTACCTTACTTTGCAAGAGAGTAAGTGAGTCACTTATGCAAAAGCAGGCCCCCTACCTGCACGCACTAGGGCCCAAGACTCTAAACTTGAGGAAGCTATTCTTCCGCTTAGCGCTCCCATGAGACACAGCCTTTACATTCTCCAGTATTAAAATGCAACTACCAGCAGAACTCTAACAAGGCACCATGTCTATGCAAAGAGACAAGATTAGCATTTTATCATTCAAATTCACTAACCTAGTGATGGAAAACTGGGGAGAGCAAGACAGCCTGTGTTATAGATTGAATTACAGCCCCCCAAAAAATATGTGTTATAAATCCTAAACCTCTATATCTGTGGATGGAATCCCATTTGGGAATAGGACTTTGTTATGTTAATGAGACCATATCAGTGTAGGATGTGTTGTAAACCAATCGCCTTTGCAATTAAAAAAAAAAAAAGTAGATTAGGCACAGAGAAGAAAGCACAAACGGAGGGGAAGATACACACCCCATGAAGATGGCCAAGGAACTGAGGAACAGAAGCTGGCAGAGAGAAAGCCTTGCCCTAGAGCCGGAGCCCTGCATTCAGACTTCCAGCCTCCTAGAAAGGAGTGCGGCTGGTGCAAAGGTTAAGCGCTTGGCTGCTAACCAAAAGGTTAGCAGTTTGAATTCACCAGCAGCTCTGTGGGAGAAAGACCTGGCAATCTGCTTCTGTAAAGATTACCACCAAGAAAACCCTATGCGGCAGTTCCACTCTGTCACATGTAGTTGCTATAAGTTGAAATCAACTCCATGGCAACTAGCAACAACAAAAAACTGTGAGAAAATAAACTTCTGTTTATTAAAGCCACTCACTTGTGGTATTTCTGTTGTAGCAGCACTAGGTAACTAAGACAGCCTGTTTCCCTGTGTTCAAACCTGAACCAAGTCATCTGAAAAGTCACCTCACTAGAAACAGGTTATCTGCAGAACCTCAACCTATCCTCCTCCAAATATTGATTAATGTCTGTGGTGATTTTAACGGATGTCCACAAATTCTATGCTCCTCCTTCTTCCAGGAGGCAGAGCTTAACTCCTTTCCTCTTGAGTGTGGGGCAGACTTCAAGACTCTGCATCTAACAAAAAGAGTATGGAAAGAGTAACTTGGCAGTATAGATGCCAGCAGGCACCCCCTCACCCAAATGATCAAGGTCAACGTCACCATTAATAAGTTACACTGCTCTCACATGCTCCCTGATGGGATGTGATGAGAAAGGCACCTCGCCTCTGCAGTATTCTACCCCCAAATCCATAACCTCTGTTTAATCATGAAAAAATATCAGATAAACCCAAACTGAGAGATAGTCTACAAAACACCCAGCCACTACTCCTCACGTATGTCCAGGTCATGAGAAACAAGGAGTGACTAAGAAACTTTCACAGTCTGGAGACTCAGGAGACATGGCACTTCAATGCAGCATGGTACCCTGGACTGGGTCCTGGAATGGAAAAGGACAGCAGTGGGAAAACTGTTGTATCAATGTTAATCTCATAGTTTTGATGAATGTCCTGTGGTTATCTGAGGTGTTAGTATTAGGAGAAGCTGGGTGAAGGGTATTTGGGAACTCTCTGTGCTATTTTTGCAGCTCTTCTGTAAATGAAATTATTTCAAACTCAAAAGTTTTTTCAAAGAATCACCACACTGAAGTTTCACATCCTCAGACTGTCAGTCTCTTTGTAAATCCCAGGTGGTGGCGCAGTGGTTAAGAGCTACAGCGGCTAACCAAAATGTCGGCAGTTGGAATCCATCAGCTGCTCCTTGGAATCCTTATGGCGCAATTCTTCTCTGTCCTACAGGGTTGCTATGAGTCGGAATCATAGGGTTTGGTTTTTGGTTTTTGCCATGTGTGAGGTTATGCAATGAGGGCCACAAGGGGACAAAACCTCCCACATTAAAGCTCCCTCTGCTGAGGGACTCACAGCCCGATCATGGAGATGGCACCCACAGAAAATAACATGAGCATGATTAAGGAACCACGTATCAGCATGGTCCCAGATGCTGACAGGCTCTGAGAAAGTGAAAGTTGGGAGACGGAGGCAGCCAATTCAAGTCCTTTGAGGCCCCAAATTCGGGGGGCTGACCACTCACTTTTTCACCCCACACCTGAAGCTTTTCTGGCCCCATTCAGTCTCTCTCTTTGTAAAGCCTTCCTTCCTAAATTTCCAGAGGCAGAGTCTGTGCTTACCCCATCTAGGCCCCAGGGAGCTGGGCATTGGGTGCCCTCCTCCAGGCTGTCTTGGGAAGAGCCTGCCGAGGCTTTGGCAACCCTCTCTTGGGTGTGTGCCCACCCAGGGAGCTCACCGCTTAGTGAGGGCTTGGCTGATGAGGAGGCAGCGTGGTGGGAGGCAAACCTTTGCTCATACCTGGACTCCAGCACTTACTGGGGAGGCTTACTTAATCTCGAATTTCAGTTCTCTTGTCTGTCAATGGCAGTATGATACTGCAGCACCTGGCAAGTGGCTGGTGGCCAATCACGGGCCCAGACACATTATCCACACACTAATTTATTCCACCACATGGCCACATCAGGTGCTAATGGTGGGTCCCAGACAAAATATGGTAAGCATTTCTGTAAAAGAAACGTAGGGAACACATTACCTAGAAAAAGTATTCATGGTGAAATACAAAGAAATTCAAGAGAGACTACGACCTCACTCAAGATTGGGATCCCATAGTGGTTTATCAAGGGGCTAGGGATTCGAACTGCTGACCTTTTGGTTAGCAGCCATAGCTCTTAACCACTGATCTCAGCTGCTAACCTACAGTTCAAATTCACCAGCCGCTCCTTAGAAACCCTATGGGCCAGTTCTACTCTGTCCTATAGGGTCCCTATGAATTGGAATTGACTTGACGGCAATGGGTTTGGTTTTTGTTAGGGGATTTGGACCCTTTCTTCATCTTAGAAGCTTGACCTTAGAAGCTTCATCTTAGAAGCTCTCCATGGATTGGGTGGCTCTGAGGTCTGACTCATGGAAGAAAAGGGGGTAGGGTTATGCAGGTAACAACATAGAAGCATCTGTTGTAGTTAAAATCATGGAAGCCAGAAGTCACACTCAACAGCTGTGTTACTGTGGGCAAGTCATGGAACAGCTCTCTCTTCCTGTATTTCCCCAACTGTGGAATGGGAAAAAATAATAGACCCACCAACCATGGTGGCTCAGCAGGAATTACATTTCATAGAATTTCCTTCCTAGGTGGAAGGTAGCCACAGGAGAGATCTGCGTGCGATGTGGAAGACGGAAGTGAAGCAGCAGCCATTATCCCCTGAGAGTTTGAGTAGGCACCAGGCACTGCACAGCTCATGCATGTTCTGCTGAACTGCTGGCTCACCTTGGGGGCGAGGGGGCAGCAGCCACGCCCACAGCTCCTCTAGCTCCCTCAGCATCCCTCCTTCAGCGTCTCCATCCTGAGCCAGGGGGGTGTGCAGTTTTATGGCGAAGGGTACCAGCAGGTCACCTGTGTCATCAAGGCTGAGAGTGTGGGAGTCAGATGGGGATTCCAGCCCACCTTCATGGGTTCCAGTTTGTCCTTGCTCTCCTCCACTTCACTTCCAGGTTTCCCTCCTGACTATCAGCCCTGCTGACTTCAGGTTCAACACCAGCTTCAGAGGCCTCACACACACTTCTTAACCAGCACCCCCAACTGTGTAACGTCGAATCCCTATAACAAACCCTCGTTTAATCCTGATATACTACTTTAAAAGGATGTTTCAAAGTGTGTGAACAATGCCTGGCACACAGTAAACAATATATGAGTTTATGAAAACAAAAGTTTTAAAACATGGAGAAGCCAACGTGCAAAACCCAGGTTCTTCCTGTCCTCGCTAATTTCTACCAATGACCCTCTGCTCCCTGGATCGGCGTTGCAGTATCCGCTGCCTTTCTGCCTGGGAGAACAGAGACTGTAGACCTCTTAAAGCCTCACCCAGGGCTACAAGGCTTTGCTCACTATTGCTGAGCTGATCCACCTCAGAAAAAAATCAAACCCTGCAGAAGAACCCATGGAGGACCTGGGCAGCCACAGACCTGCCAAAGTCCCTCCCTCAGAGCCAGCTTTCAATATCCCAGCAGTCTCTGTGATTACCCCACCTAGAGCCACCTGACTCTCCCAGCAGGCTCTCCTTCTCCTCAAAGCTACCTTAGTCTATTGTTAGCATGAGCATAATGTCACAGAGATGCCAGTCAGCAGCCTGCCCAAGATAATCAGTCTCTAAGTTTAATTTAAGAGGGAATTTCTCAGAGGATTCCTTCCAGAGAGAGTCAGGCTGATGTTGAGAAAACGGCAGCCCACTTAAGTGCTCACGACCCTTGACTTCCTTCAAGTGCAGCCACAACTGTCCTCTCACTGAATTCTCACAGCCATGGTGAGTGCGCATCTGGCAGGTGTAGAAACAG